TAGACCACATTGTTCTCAGCCTCATGGCTCAGGAATACAAATGCAGTGTGGCTTAGCAGTAACTTTGAAGAAGGCATTAAACTAAAATTAAAGCTGCATAGTCTCTAAGCTATCATCATCATTCTGGGAGAGTACCTCCCAAATTCTTTGGCTGCAGATCTTGTAGTAGGAAGATTGTGGCAAAATCATTGCTGAGGGAGAATTGAACTACCCCTGTTGAAAAGGATTAAATATTCCTTTGCAAGAAGAAGGAAAGGTGAGACCATGGCCAGACTGTGGATTGTGAGCTACAGAGATGTACTTACATCTCATGGCTCCCAAGGGTCTCCTCCTAAAAAACCACCTTTTAAGTTGTGCGACACTCACCCTGGCAAAGCCATTTCCAAGTTGCCAGAGAGCAGGATGGTAAATGATGTTGCACCCAGCTAAGAGACACAAGAGTGTGACCCTATTTTTATGCTTTTTCTCTAAAGACTGAAGCAATCAGTTGCCAAACCAGCCCCCAAGTGAATTCAGAAACAACCACCTCTGGATTGTCTGTTGTTACAAGCTCCTTTGGTCGAGTGAACCGCAGGCGGCCTGTCAGCTGTGAGGAGCCGAGGATGGAAGGTGTCCAGAACGTCAATGGATCCACCCAGGAATATGACGCCTGCGAGATGCAACTTCCAGAGGCCTTACAGCAGCTCCACTTGGAGGGGCCGCAGGGCAAGAGTAGCACTAAGGTCGCTGGATCACCAGATCCCTCATGCTTGCTGACCCCACCGAACACGCCTCTGACGTTTGACTCCACAAGTCTTGAACTCACTCCAGAGGCCAACCTTGGTAAAGGTGTGATGGACCCTCGGAGGAATGGACTCAGTGGTGCCAAGACTATGACCCCTGAAGGTAAGAAGTGGAGTCAGCACTGGGATGAACAATTAGATCTTTAAATTGAGGAGAACACTAAAGGGAAAGTTGGCTTTTGCTCAGTGCATTGGTCAAGGTATCTAAGCTGGTGGTTCTTCTGCAGTGCTCCTGGTTTGGGCAAGATAGGACTGCCAAAAGAGACAGGAGAAAGACTAGAGGGGACATGTAGCTCCATCTGTCAAACCCACACTTCGCTTGCCCCAAACCCAAGGGTATTTTTATATTATTTGCCCTCAACAGGTAACCTGGCCCATAGGTTGATACACTGGGCAGGATTGGGGAACCTCCGTACCTCCAGATGTTGTTGAACTGCAACTCCCATCATTCTTCCTTTGGCTAAGATGGGCTGGGGCTGCCAGAATCTGGAGGACTGCACGTTTCCTACATGCAGATGAAGGTGCAGAAAAGGAGGGCTGCCATCAAGCCTTTGCTAACCTTTGGTCATGTGGATGGGGCAAGAGCCAGGTGGAAGCTTCTCCACTGCAGAAAGTCCTGACATTCAGATTTCTTTTAAAGGAAGAAGTCAATATAGAGTTGCAAATACATTTGCGCACATCAGTATCTTAGCCATTTTTATTATCCTGCCCACCACCCAAAAATACCTGAATTGAAAAGAAGGAAAATCCCAAAAGCTGTTATCAGTGCTTAGGGAAGGAAATTGTTAAAAACACAACTGATCTGGGATGGGAAGGTATGTGTGTCTGTGATTATTTTCATTGTGGCTTAGCAGTAACTTTGAAGAAGGCATTAAAATGGGTGGAAACCAGCCCATTCATTGATTAAATAGTTTATGTCAGTTTGTTTTTAGGTTTCCAAATGGCAGGACTGGGCATCTATTTAGACACAAAACTCTTCTCTAAAATTGCATGGGTGTGTGTCTGTGGGAATATTATTGGGGAGTTTCCCCTTCTCCAGTTTTTCTTCCTATTCGGGCAGAGCCATGTTTACTAACCCACAAGTAGCTGGTCTCTGGAAAGATATCCCTGAAGGAAAAAATGAGTGGCTGACTCTTCAAGCTGGGAGAATGAAAGAATGCAAAGTCCCACATACTATGCAATGGTCAAAAATGTTTGTTTCTGAAAAAGCCCTATGTGGTTTGACCCTATCACCAATTGGCCTTCCTCAGGGGCTGTTTAATTCTCAGAAATTTCTGGAGCCTGCATAGTCTATATAGAAGGGGTCCTCTGAGTATTAGAAGGAAGGACCACTTCTATAGAGAATGCAGACGACAGGTCCAGAAAGTTCTAAGAAATGTGTGATAAGGCCAACATACATTGGGATTTTAAAGAAATAAAGGTTTTGACCATTGTCTAGCACATGGGACTTTCTCTTCTTTCATTCTTCCACTCCGAATACATGCTTTCTAGTTTTTTGGTTTGTTCCTGACTCTTCAGATTGCCAAGTAAGTCTCCTGGCCTTCAAGGCTGCAGCTGCAAAATGCAAAACATTCCCATTTTATTCTCTTGCCATCTCTTGTGAGTCACTTGGTGGGAGCAGCTGGAGGAGAGCGCCTGCCAAGTTCATTTGGAGCAACATGAATCCAGTCTTCTGGACCACCTCTGTCAAGAAAGTCCAAAGCTTAGAAAGTTAATTTTAAAAAGCAACTAGCTATAGTTTTGGTTCTGAGCTCCCTGCCCCAAGAGTTACTGTTGCATTTATTTTAAAAGCAACTCTTTCCTTTCTTTTCAAAACTAACTAAAATTGTTACTTTTTCATTCATTAAACAATAAATATTGAATCCTATGAGGTTTTTGGTTCAGGACACACACACTCTGCTGCTCCTCTTTGTCTTTCTTTCAGCTCCCAAAGCAGCAACACAAAGCACAGCACAAGCCAACACATGAACCATGTTAGATTCCTTCAACATGTTGGAAAGGCTGGATCCCTGTAACTAGAAAAGTAACCAAACACTTCTGTTTCACTGCCAAAGACAGGGGTTCCCAAACGTTGCTTCTCCAGATGTTTTGGATTTCAGTTCTCAGAACATCTGACTGTCAGCCAAGCTGGCTGCGGCTTCTGGGAGCTGAAGTCCAAAACATTAGGAGGACTACTGGCCAAGTGAATTAAGTTACTTCCTGGCATTTAGTTGTATGACATTTGTTGTTGTTGTTAACTGCCTTTGCATCGATCTCGATCCATGGCGACCCTGCTGATCAGACATCTCCAAGACCCTCTGTCCTCTACTGCCCTGCCCAACTCCTGCAAACCCTATCATGATCTCTTTAATTGAGTTCATCCATCTAGCATGCGGCCTTCCTCTCTTTCTACTTTCCTCCACCTTTCCTAGCATTATTGTTTTTTTCCCCCCAGTGATTCATGTCTTCTCACAATGTGCCCAAAGTATGACTGCCTCAGTTTTATCATCTTGGCTTTCAGGGAGATTTCTGGCTCGATCTGCTCTAGGACCCACTTGTTTGTCTTTTTGGCTGTTTCTGGAGTCCTTATCACTCTTCTCCAACACTACATTATCTCAAATGTATTTATTTTCTTCCTAGCTTCTTTTTTAACTATCCAGCTCTCACATCCATACATTAGGGAATACAATGGCTTGTATGATTCTAACTTTTGTGCTGAGTTGTATGTCTTTGCATTTTAGGATCTTTTCTAGTTCTTTCAGTGTTTGATTCCAGGTATGAGAACTCCTTTACTATTTCTATTTCCTCATTGTCTAGTCTGAATTTATGCAAGTTCTCCATGGTCATTATTTTTGTTTTCTTTATGTTCAGCATTAAGCCTCCCTTTGCATTTCTTCTTGGATCTTCCTTAGTAGGTGTTCCAGGTCTGTGAGGTTTTCTGCTAGTATTATGGTGTCATCTACATATCTTGATGGTTGATATTTCTTCTTCCTATTTTGACTCCTCCTTCTTTTGTGTCCAAGCCAGCTTTTCTTATTGTTCTGCATACAAGTTGAACAGATGGGGTGAAAGGATGCAGCCTTGTCTGACCCCTTTGCCAATTGGGAACCATTCTGTTTCTCCATGTTCTCTTCTGACAGTAGCCTCTTGTCCTGAGGACAGATTCCTTGTCAGGACTATCAGATGTGTTGGCACTCCCATGTCTTTAAGGGCGTTTCATAGCCTTTCAGCCATTTAGACATACACATGCCTAATTTGCACTATGCATGCTGTGACATTTATTTGCCATGGCACAATGGATGTATTCTCCCGACAGAAGAAGAGTTGTGCATACAGCAACATTACATTTTGGTCACTGACATGTGTGGTGCAGTGTTGCTTTTCTGCCTGGGGATTGCATAGTGCTGGTATATGGTATCTTTGGATGTGGATATTTATGCTATGCTGAGGGGATGTTTGACTGCAGCCATCATATGTATGTTATGCATATGTTGTTGGGGAAATGAATTAATTGCAAGTAATTGCAGGTTATGTGTTGCAGGTTACTTCCGATCTCTAGAAAACCCATCTTCGAGACATCCTTTGACTGGTATGCTGGTTTGTTGTTAGGAGACAATGAACAAGTACTGCTAAAAGATGAAACTTCTATAAACATGCAGGCTTACAAGTCTTTCTTCTTTCTCGGCTTTGCCCCTAGGATCGTCGCCAACACCCTACGACTTCCCGACTCCTGCTTCTTCGAGTCGCAGCTCAGCCACAGACGATTTCTGCTATGTCTTTGTGGTGGAACTGGAAAAAGGGCCCATTGGCTTGGGGATGGGACTGATTGATGGTCTGGTAAGTGGTGGCTCCATTCCTCTTTCTGATCTGTTTCTCTGCCTCCATTGGGAAAGCAGAGTTGACAGGCTGTGACCTTCTCTTTTAGACTTGTCATGAGAGCCACCATTACTTTAGCTAGAATGCAGGGATACCTGCAGGTTGCTAAACTCTGTGAAATAGCAGAGGTTGGGATGGGAGAGCTGTAGTTTGGCAATACAGCTCATGCTCTGAGGGCAGGAGACTGGACATTGCCACTTGAGTGGACATCAGATGGCACGGTTGGCAAAAATACCTACTTGAGATTTTGGACAGCTGCTGCCAGTTGTGAGAAGATAATACTACAGCCTTCTCCATTCTGGTACAGGACATCACCTCCCGGCCTGGCTATGGGATAATGGAAATGGTTGTCCAACATGGGGAATCAGTGTGGCTTAGTGGTTGAAGCACTGGAGTATGATTCTGGAGACCAGAGTTCGATTCCCAGCTCAGCCACGAAACCCACTGGGTGACCGTGGGCAAGTCAGATGCTCTCAACCTCAAGGGAAGGCAATGGCAAACCTCTTCTGAACAAATCTTGCCAAGAAAACCTTGCGAAAGGGTTGCCGTAAATTGGAAACAACTTGAAGGCACACACAGCACACTCTGGAGGGTACCAAGAGTATTTTTAAATCCCACCTTTCCCCCAAAACTGGGACTCAAAGCAGCCTGTTCTGCTGCTGGGGTGAAGCAATAGTATCCTATTAGATTAGCACTACCTGCGGATTCCTGCCTGCTCTACTTATATATTTTTAAATGCAGCATGTCATCATCTTCTGCATTCTGCATTCTTTTAACCAGACACTACACATTTGGTGAAGTAGTCAGATATTCCAGCTCCCTATTTCCTTGCCTTTGGAGCATACTGAAGACTAGGACTAATGGTGTACAATGTTTATTTATCAACATACAGGTAGAGCAAGCAGGTAATTCTAGTCTAATGATGGAGTGCCTCCCCCCAAAGCAGAAATACATGTTTGCACCTGCCTAAAACTAGTTAGTGCTAGGCTAGGTAAGCCTTTGCTCTGATCCAGTATGACTCTTCTGATGTTCCTAGGGCATTGCCTTTTCATGCTGGTTAGCAACCAGCGCAAAGAGGAATATTAAGTCTGTCAGCTGTCCCGAAGGAGAAACAAGTGCCAGGGAAACTCGATCTAAGACTATGGAGCCCTCTCAGTTTTCATAACAGATGAGCTCACCATCAAGAGTGGAGCTTCTTTCCCCAGAAGGCTGGAAGTAGTGGGAGAAACACTGTTTGCTCAAACATATTCTCTATTTAAGTGATTAAGAGCTGAAACTCCTACTGAATTCAGCCTGGTTTGTCTCCTTGTTTTACGGTAAAGCTGGGCAACAGGTGGCCCTTCCCATGCCACTGGACTGCAAATCCCATGATTCCTCATCATTGGCTATGCTTCCAAGGGATGATGGAGCTTTTGCGCCAGTGAGATCTGGAGCGCTATCACTTGCCCATCCATCTTAGGGCCACAACCTCAGCAGCTAGTGGGAAAGATGGAAACTGAAGTCCAATGCATGTGGAAAACATCAGGTTGGAAAAGGTTGTTGTTAAGACACTAGAGAGTTTTCCAGCAAGGCTCCTGCTCACTCTTGGGTTAAATTACAGGAGATTCCACCTAAGCATTAGGAAAAACTTTTCTTTTTAAAACTGCAATTTGCTGTTTGACAGTGAAATAGATTGCCTCAGAGGGCAGCAGACTCTCCTTCTTTGGAGGTGTTTAAACACGGGTTAGATGAGCATCTCCCAGGAGTGCTTTAGCTGTGTATCCTTGCATGCAACTGGATGGTTCTTGCAGTCTCTTTAAACTCTATGATCCAGTGACATTGGTGGTTGCAACTTCCAGCACCCTAATTCTTAGACTTGATCTGGGTAGAATAGTTAGGCCTTCAGTTTGATCCAGCACAGCTCTGAAGTTTCTGAAGTCATATCTTTTGGAGCTGGTGCTGGCTTCCCTGCCACAAATCGTGGACCAAATACCTTTGTAAAAAACAGAATGCCCTCCACCCCAGAAGCCCTTTCCTTTATCCTCTTTAGAATATTGCAACTCCATTTTTCATTCTTGTTTTTCTGATCTTTTTTGCTGCTCCCCGCCCCCTGTTCAGCACACTCCCTTGAACTCTCCTGGGATCTACATTAGGACTTTGATCCAGGACAGCCCTGCAGCAGCAGACGGCAGACTCTCCATTGGGGACCGTATCCTTGCTGTCAACGGCACAAGCCTCATCGGTTCTGACTACCAGAGGTAGGAAAAAGGAAAAGCTACTGGTGTTTGCTTTAGCTATAGTACAAACAGCTGATTTAGTGCCTGTGATGAGCCCAAGCTTCCTAGTCTGCTCCACCGCAACCAGATGTCAGCTGGTTTTCCTTTAACCTCCTATTTCTGGTCACCGTGCCCTGTCCTGATTTTTAGATCACCATTTTCAGGATCATACGTACATCATGTTACAAAAATCCAAATCCTGCACTTTGAAACACCAAATTCTGCAACGTCTGCATTACACATATGCAGATAATTGATTCTGGTTGTGCCCATCTCATTCTCAGAAACTTGATTACACGTTTCCATCTGGCTTGTGAGATTGTGACAGGCACCGTCAACACATTTTCAAACTTCTGTTTGCGCCCATGGACTAGAAACTTTTAAAAAAGGAAAGCAAGATTGCCCAAAAAGACAGCTGTGCTTTGGTGCTATTCAAGAGTAATCCCATACTTTTTTCCAGATGAATGGATGAATTTGGGCACATGAGTTCAAGCTAGCTTGAACAGCTGCTGAACAGCTAAGGCACCAGCTTCCGTCCCCTACCCCCAAAGGATATTAGGAACAGCTTAGAAAGGTTGCTTTTTTGGACTACAACTCCCAGAATCTTCCACCTGGGGGGTGTAGTACAAGAATATTACAATTCCAAGCTCTTAACAAGCACTACATATTCCTGTTGCTGTGTAAGGTGTTCTGAGATGTGCTCACACATTCATGTCCACCACTGATAAATGTAGAATGAGCAGAAGACCTGAATGAAAGGATCAGAACCCTGCTATGGTGATTTTCATATTTTTTTTAAAAAATTGCATTACTAACAGTATGATAGTGTGTGACCATTTTTTAAACAAAACAAACAAACTTACCAGGAGTTTCCCCAAAAAATAAAAGGGAATTCTCATGCTGACCTGAGTGGCAGTACTTTTCCTGGATTTTATTCACACAAACGGCCTCACAGACTTACTGAGAAATCAAGCAGTAGGGGTGTTTATGTGTTAAGAGAGAGGGTACTCAAGTCAAATTAAAGTTTCTCTCACCAACTTTTGGGCATTTTCCCTTTTTTTCCCCAGTGCTGTAGACCTTATCCGATCAGGGGGAAAGAAACTGCGGTTTCTGGTGGCTAAGTCTGACCTAGAGATAGCCAAGAAGATCAGTTTTGGTTCTTCTCCTTCTCCATAAAAATCTTCACCACAACAGCCCTTCCACATTCACCTGTCATGGAAACTGCATCATGGACAACAAAGCCAGCTAGTGACACAGACAGAGAGCAGGCTGGGAACATCTGGAACCTGGTCAGAGTTTGGAGGGCAGAAAGTTGTGTCCTGAGGTGAGGAAGATTCCACCTCCCCTACACATGATGATCCAAACAAAACAGTATTTAGAAAAAGGGTTGCAAACATTCTCTTCTAGCAGCTATTCATGACTGCACAAGCTTTGAACAAGCCAACGTGCACCTCTCCCCCATGCATAAGCCATTTGTGTCACACAGAGCCTTTTAAGTCTGGGTGCCGCTTATCCAAATCTGCATTGATTCTTTGCTGATTCTTCCGACCTATGGGTGGTTCCTATCTTCCTTTCTTTTCTACACTCAAAACTGCCGTCAATTTGTTGAAAGCTGTTGAGGCCAACACTCTTGCTGTTAAAACAGCTAGACTACAGAGGGGTGTTCCAGGTCAGTAGATTGATGTCACTCCCCATTGAGAGCTAGAGCATTTACTTCCTTCTGGGTTCCTGCATTTTTCTCTGATCTCCTCTCTTTGGTCATGACTCTGTGGGATGCAAAAGTCAAATCTGCACCTGTTAAAGCAGGCTCAGGAAGTTGCTATTCTCTAGCAGGTCAAAATTGCATTTAGGTAACTGAAGCTGGAAGCCTTATGAAAGACTTCCCATTTTCATTTTAAAATTATGAATTACTACACTGATTCAGTGGGCTACTAGAAAGTGTCTGCTTGCAAATCAATCTTTGAAATGCTGCCAATGCACATAAAAGGTAAGGATGTAACACGGAGTGTCTGTAATAGGCAAAACCACTGAATGCAGCTTTTGTTAGTCCTTTTAGAGCAGGGCTTTTTAACCTGGGAGATCAAGACCAAAAGAGTTCAAGTGTTCCACTGTGGATCACTGCCAAAGTGGTCCATACCCCCCAAAAGTTTAAGAATTCCTGGTTTAGAAGATTGTTGAACAGTGGTTAGAATAGGGAAGTGGAGAGCTGGGTTCAAATTCCTAGCCACCTAGACAGCCTTTTCGACCCACTTTCCTTCTTTCTAGCTCACCTCACAGGGTAGTTGCTCTCAAGGTGGTGAAAGAGAGATGCGGGAAGCTTGTGCCAGCTGATTTCTGAATGTTGCACATCTCTAAAAAAGGAACAGTACCATATATATATATATGGAATATCAGCAGCTATCTTGTGACAAGCTCTTAGCTCTGTGGATTTCACAGAGGGCTTATCACAAGGCAAACACCATCCGTTGAGAGCCATGCTGAGGTGCTATTACTGGATCACAGGCAGGTGATGACATCAAACTATGCCCAGCTTCAGAAACCAAACATTCTCTCTCTACTGGAACATCAGATGGTTTGAATTGCTAAGGCCTGGGAGCCAAAAGAATAGCTCAGTTCTTCCAGCTGTCTGCTGCCAACAGCAACAGTCGTTTGAGCAAGCGTCAGCTTAAGAGAGGCAACAGTGCCTCAGTGTGGCTTTTAGCTCTCCCTGCATCCACACAGATTTCCCAGAATTTCTCCATAGCCAGCCCATCCAAATGATGAATGGGAGATGCATCCCAGAAAATGCCTCAGAGATGCTTACAGGCAGGCTCTAAAGGTAAAAAACCTTCACTGCTTATCCCTCAGCAACTGGTGTTCAGTAGTGCTCTGCCTCTGAACACGAAGACTTTATCTCTCAGAAGATGACAGTCTCTGGCTTTATACTGGCCTAATGGCTGTAATAAAATGATTTGATTTGACAGTCTCTGGCAGATCCATCCTCCATAAATTCCCTGAAAGATGGGGAAAATATAGTCCTCCAGGTTTTGCTGGACTACCACTCACATCATCCCTGACCATTGTTCAAGCTAACATAATGCCTTTGTAAAAATAAATAACATTATCCTTATCTCGTGGCAGCTCTATGAGGGCCCCAAGAGTCTGTATATATATTGTCTCCAGACCTGAATTTAAGAATTT